AGGGTATTTAAAGTGAATGGACAACATTTAAAGATAGTGTATGGGCAACAGGTGCATGTGGAGGAAGAAATTCCTCTTGCAGACCCGATTTACCATCCTTGATACCTTCCAGGTCTGTCCGTAGGGGCGGATCCAGCACCTGGCCAGCCCCCAAGGCCGCCCGTGCTGGATCCGTAGGAATTTATAGGTTGGAACTCGCCAAATCGCCATTGTTGCAGATCTGCAGTTGCCGGGAGGGAAGGGATGAACGATTAGGGAAGATAAGTTGGATTTGGGCCATATTTTTTAATAACTTGTGGACCTTTGTCTTGGGCTTTTTTTTTAAAAAAAAAATTAGGCCCATTATCCAATTCCACTGCTTGTACCCAATGTCCCAGCCCCCCTCAATTGAATTTTGCAAAAAACACATACAAAGGCGCAGTTGGTAACTCAACTCCAGATGGAACCCTAGCTTATTTCGATGAGAATGATCAACTCCAAAGCGTTTTAATTCTTTCCCTCGCTACCGGTCCAAGTGCTTTCACTCCCACTTTCAGGTTATTTTCGATCTGTAATCATCGGGAGCTCACTAGCCAAATGGCTCGGCAATTTTTTTATTTTATTTTGAAGTGTTTGTTTTTGATTGGGTCAATTTTGGGCGGCTTATACAAGTGCTTGGGTTTTAGTTTTGTGCATTTTTTTTAATATGGTTTGGGTGGGTTTTGCAGCATGAAGTGAAGCATGCGCCTGGGTTCATCGAAAACGCTGACGAGTTGAAGTCAAAGGGTGTCGATGAAAATGAAATCTTGTGCATCAGTGGTTAGAATGTGACCTGCCTACTGTTTAAGTGAGCCTCTCTAATTTTTTTTTTTTCCTTTTTATTTTTTTGGTTCATTTTTTATGTTATTAGAGAATGATTTGTGAACTGCTGTAGATTTGATTTAATTTGGGTATGCTTCATTTTCTAGTTTTCCTGTTTTTGGGATTTCTGTTTAATTGACTTTTTTCTATATTAGTTTATTGATAGATAGATAGATAGATAGTATTTGTTAATTTTTTACACTAACCACCTCTTTTTCTGCTGATTTGTTCATTTATTTTTTCTAGTCAAAATCTTTTATATTACTTGTATAGTTGGAATTTGACTGCTAGGTAAATCAAGAAATTAAACATTTTAAGAATGTTTCAATTTCTTGTGTTTTCTATTGATATAGTAATGTTCTAGCTTGTTTTTCATCAGTTTTATGTTGGGCATTTCATTTTGTCAAAGTAAAATATGGAGAAGCGAAGCTAAATATTTTTACGTATTTGAAATTTTATTTTTATTCTATCTCCATTAATTGCTGAATTTGTTCAGTAAGCTAATGGTGCTTTTCGAGTGTTAAGATTATAATTTCATGTGTCGGTAAATGTCAGAATGTTGATCTCAAATATCAATTACCTCTGTTGGATTTGAGGATTGAATTGTTAATAATAACTTTCTTTCTAGTTAGTGATGTTGAAAGGAGGAATAGCTTTGCAGAGAGGGAGCCATGCACAATCAAGAATGCCGGTAAATTTACTTGTATTACTGATATATGTGTACATGTGTATTTGTATAATTAAACTTTGCATATTTTATATTTATTTAATGGAACCTGTCCTACTCTATTAATGCATTAATCTTAATTCCGTTGACTCATTTTAATTTAATTAAATATTAATAAACAATCTTGTTATTGCGGTCGTCGACGGTTGACAGTCGATGGCCGCCCTATCTCACCAACATTCCTGGATTCGCCCCTGTCCGTTCGTCCGTCCGTCCGTCACTTTACTTTT